TTGCTGCACCTGTTCACCAGCTCTTTTTTGTACTGCTTGGTGTGTTTATGTATGTATGTATGTATGTATGTATGTGTGTGTGTATGTATACATATGTCAACCTCGTTATTGACCAGTCAAAGATATCAATGTTCTGGTGAGTTGAAGCCAGAAGCACGCAATCACTCCAATGTATGCTGCTTGAACTGGGCCCGGACTTTGATGTGTTTCTCTGGCTCGGTGGAACGAACGACGGGAGCGGCAGGCCAATCGTTGCGCCTGGATTGCGCAATGATGTCATGTAACTCCTTTCTGACCAGGTGCAGCTTTTGCTGCAGAGCTTGGAGAACGAGGCCCCACTGCCCCCACCACCCATCAACCATGGCCCACCTCAATTGACGGCGCCTCCATGGTTCGTCCAAAGGAGGGCTTGATCGGAGGTAGCTTATTGCCATTTTACTTCAGAGGGCGCTTGACTTTATGGTCAAGAGGTGGAGGAACAGGCAGCGCATGCATACATACATACATAGATAGATAGATAGATAGATAGATCGGTCGATCGATCGATCGATAGATAGATAGGCAGATAGACAGAAACACTTGACAACACCAATCAAAAACACCTGGTGCTTCCCACTCCACCGCCCTCCCGGTCCCATCAACTCGCTTTAGTCTGTCAAGGACCACTCCGGCTTTCACGTGAAATCCAGTCCTTGGTCACTGGATCGCGGGAGTCACGGTGTATGCCGTGGCTTGGGCAGAAGATCTTCAGGGCAGCTTGGCGAAAATGGGGACTGGGTGATGGGCTGGGATGGATTGAAGGATGGGCGAAAACAGTGGACATTCCCAAATGGGGCAAAAAAAATGATGAATCACAATTCGCCCAACCTTTGGGGGATTGTCAGCTCGGGTGGCAATTGAAGAACCTTCAGGTTCTCCAAATCACACCGCGAGCTGGGTATGGGAAAGCAAACGAACAATCAATTCCAGCACCTCCCGGAAAAAGACACTGCGTTACGGACCCCCCCAATGGAAACACCACCCGTACCATCTATTCAGTAGCCAAAATCTCAACCCTTGGGCCGTCGTGAGGGATGGTCTTGGGCCAGCACTTTCCAAGGTTACGCGGCCCGTTTTCCTGCGAGCCTGCGTTTGCCAGGCACGGGCGGGGAAAACGCCGGCGGACACATGGCGGGAAGTGGCTCAACAAAACTTGGTTGGTAGTCACAAAGGGGTGCCTATTGGAGGATAGGGGTCCCCCATTATCCACTCACTTGGAAATCAAAAACCATCCTTTTGTGACTCCTGGTGGTAGGTTCTTGTCTGAACAATGTTGCACATTTTGTTCTGAAGTGATGCTCCCTCTCGGAGAAAGCTCAGTTTTGTATTCTTGTTAGTAATTACACAAACACCGGATGTGTTCAACAAAAAGCAACTCCCTAGGATCCAAAAAAAACACATTTTTTTAAAATGTTTTTTGGGTGGCCAAGCAAAATGAGGGCCCAAAGAAAGCAATTGTTTTTTGCTGGAAAAGACTTGGCTTTGGTATGTTTTGGTCAGGTTTCGGAGGTGCAACACTGTTGGAGACTGCAAGATCCGTCCAAGATCCACTCCACACAGCAGAGCGCCAGGCCATGCTTGCAACCTGAGCCTCCGCTGCGGTTAGCGCGTATTAGGGATTTTGATGGCTGCAACAATTCTGGAGGAAAGAGCTGCGCATTGACATTTCTTGGGAAAATGCAACCTGTTGAATCCTCAGGTATTTGTTCATTGAGCTCTCTCTCTCTTTTTCTCCTCCATCCCTTGTCCCTTCATACGTCTCCTTCTTTCCCTTCTTCCCTTCGCGTCACGGTCGACCGCACCCAGGCAGCTGTATTCAGCCTATCATTCTGCACAGCTTGCTGGAGACCCTCAGCTTGCCTGAGGAGCAGCGGAAGCAGAGTTTGGCGCTGATCCTGCTGCCGCTGGGCCCTGGAAAACGGAGAAAGCAAACCAAAGCGGTGCGAGAGCGAGAAACAAGTCCAGCGGCGTCACAACGGAAGAGCGACAGAAGCTTTGTTGGGGACAGAAGTTCACGTTCTCAGGTGGTATGTGCAACAGTGTACAGTACATCGATGCATTGATTCCATTTGGTTAGGATGGTTGCCTGGGCCTGGGTGTGGTCAAGGGGCAAGCCATATGTGTTCTTTTCCGACTCAGGAAGGGACACAGAGAATCCATCACCCACAAGATTCTTCACTTCTCTCCTTTTTGCCGTGAGGTGCTTGTTACTGGAACCTGGAACCTCTGAAAAAAGTTCCCTGTGCCAAGTTTGGGGGGAGAAGAGGCTGAAGCCTGTTCAGCCTCTGCAGATTTGGTAGGTTCAGCCTCTTCTCCAAAGGTGTTGTGTTTTTCTTTGAAGAAAAGAACAACTCTTGGAGCAAAGACTGAGGAATGGTTAGCCATGATTCTAGCCAAAAGGTGTTTTGCTAGCCATGATTCTAGCAAAGATTTTGAGAGCACAACTGAGGAATGCCCTGGGCGTCGCTGGAGCAGTGTGGCTTTGTCATGCATTGGTAGTATGTGTTAACAAGAGGATTTCGAACCCAAAGAGAGACTTGATGGAAAACCCAGTTGTTTGGGGTTCCCTTCATTTTGATCAGGTTTCGAGGAGCTTCTGTGACTTGAGAGGAGGTGTTTCTCGAGACATCAGCAGGAGTCACTGCATTTTTCTAAAAGCCTCCTGCAGAAATCTAGAGCTCGGACCCATCAAGAAATGAGGAACATCAATGACATCAATCATCCATCTTTGAATCATGATCAATCCACTCACAACAAAACATGCAACCAGAGTCAACCCCATTCCACAGCTAGTCCAAAGCCGGATATCTTGCACTTCTCAAGATGGTCTAGCGGAGCCCCGAGTTGCCTGCGTCAGGATGGGGCAATGGATCTTCGCGGAATATGCCTGGACCATGTTTGTCCGTGCTGACCTCGAAGCACAAGTCTTGCTGTCCCACTTGGTCTATCGCAAGAGCAGCTTGGACATGTCGGCGCATACGGCTGTCACTGTGCGGGCAGTGCGGATTCGCCATGATGAGAAGGGGGGGTGAACGTAAGGATTGTTGACTCACATCGAACTTGAGAATCACCTCTTAGGCTCGGAACTCGATTTGAGGGCACAGACCTGGCCAGGTCTCCACAGAAGTCGATTCGTGCAACGAACGACGCAACTCACGGTGCAACGAACGACGACCGATCGGGTGCTCGTCTTCGATGCGCCACCTCATCAGTCTCTTCGCTGGCGACCCAGTGGATCGACCTCCTTTTCATCCCGATCCAAGAGAGGTTGAAAGGCTAAGAGATGCCCTCCGACAGAACTTTTTTGGGGATCTATGAGCTTAAGAAGGTTACAACCCTTCTTTGAGACCTGGAGGGGGCCCCAAACACCCGAACACCGCAGTACGAACGGGCGTTAGTACTCACGCGCTTTAAGGCCTCTTCTTACGGCTGGAGGAGTCCCCCTACACGGTCGGGGACCTGCAGAACCACTTCTCCACGGATTGCACGAAGCTGTTTCTTGGCATAGTCGTAACAAGAAGCTACTAGTATAACACAGGGCATCGCTGCGAACGGAGCAAGAAACTACTAGGGGCGCTCCTGGCACTACTAGTAGTAAGGTTATTTCTGCCACGGTTTTCGGGGCGAATTGGCAGGAACACCGACAGGAACACTGACCTTGCAGGAAGGTGGATCGAGGATCGAGCTGATCAGGACAAACATGCAAACCTGGAGATGACAGGTCATTTTGGGAGACGGCTGCGTCAATCCAGCTACGTACAGTCAACCAAATGAGCCAAAAGAAGGGTCTTGTCCTTCTTCTTCTTCTTCCTCCTCCTCCTCCATCCACTTCTTCTTCTTCTTCTTCCTCCATCCACTCACCAAGAAGCCTACCACTCCTCCGAACCCCAACCCCACTCCCAGCACCGTTGACCGCTCGATTGACCGAGATGTCTTCATGACCGACCGTGGATCGACCGTTGCTGACTGGTGCGACTCGTAGGGAATAGGGGAATGAGCCCCCAATGGAGATTCTATTGGATCCAGCCACCCTCATTCCCTGCTTTCGCACCAGTCAGAGCGTCTGGTCCTTCTTCCAATTCTCCAAAAGCCCATGCGAGACTGCTGCGAACTCTGCGCCGGAGCCGGAGCGACATCGTCAACATCGCCCTGACCTCCAGGGTGTTGTCCTTCTTCCACTGGTGTCATGCGGATCTGGTCATCTCCGGCTGCACCTTGTTGGTGGTCGCCTGGCATCTCACCAAGCTCATTGGCTCTGCCGGGCTCATGGGCATGCTTACCGCGGCTCGTCTGGTTCGGCTCGTCGGTCGGACTCGATTCAGTGTGGCGGGTTCGAGTCAGAGCTTTGCAGAGGGAGGCGGGAAGTGTTTCTTTTTTTACGAGGGGCCTTTTCACGAAAGCTAGTATGCTAGCTGAGTTCTTCTTTGCTTTAGCAATTGGTAGTGGGATGAGCTGTGTGCCTTAAAGCTTGATATATCACACTAACCACCCCCCCCACGGTTCGACTCCCAGCTGCGCCGTGTAGCGGGGGTTGGTTGAACGTGTGAACGTGGTTGGTTGGGTGTAAACGGTGGCTTGGTGTAAACGGTGCTGCTGCTGCCGCCCTGCTGCTTGCTGCTGCTGTTTGCTGCTGCCGCTGGTTGCCGCTTTTGTAGCTGCTGCTTTGCTACTTGTTGCGGCTTGGTGCTGCTGCTGCTGTTGCTGACGACGCCGCTGCTGCTGCTGCTTGCTGCTTGCTGCTTGCTGCTGCTGCTTGCTGCTTGCTGCTTGCTGCTTGCTGCCGGTGGTGCTGCTGCTGCTGCTGCTGCGGCTTGGTGCTGCGCTGCTGCTGCGTGGTGCTGCTGGCTGGCTGCTGGTTGGCGGTTGCTGCTGGCTGCAGGCGGCTGCTGCTGCTGCTGCTGGCTGCTGCTTGCTGCATAGGACTTGTACTTCACCGTTACAAGTTGTTTACCCCTATTTCTAACCTAATGCATGCATAAGCGGGTGGTAAATAGCCATACACCGGCTATTTGCTCAAGACACTCTATTCCTGATACCTTTTACCAGTGCTTATCCTACACTACGGACGCCCTAGTGTATGCACAGTCCTTGTGATGCCAGAAATGCTTACCCCTCTTTCCGGCACAAGGCATACATAAAGCGGGGGGTAAATTTACCCCCCAGATTTGCAATAACCATAAGCCGGCTATTTCCTCAAGACACTTTATTCCATATACCTTTTAGCCGTGCTTCTCCTACACTACGGACGCCCTAGTGTATGTACAGTCCGTATGATGTCAGAAATGCTTACCCCTCTTTCCGACTCAAGGCATACAAAAGCGGAGGGTAAACTTACCCCCCAGATTTGCCGATCACGCATCTTCGTGCCTGCCAACGAGTGCACCCGGGTTGTTCCAATGTACCCTTCCCAGTCAGCGTCACATTTACATTTTTTAGCGCAAAGTATGTACATAGCAACCTTCCTCCCAAAACATGTAATCACTACATGCTTTGCCGACTATGTAACTAGTACATCCGGTGCGACTCGGCTAGCTTTCGACGTCCTCCCCCTGGCCTCAAGTTGAACGACCTTGACTATTGGAGTCTATTGGAGTCTATTTGCCTGTGGGTCAAGTGAAGTACTGGAGAGAGTGTGGGTTTGTTGTTGGAAGTTCGCTGTCGGACAGGTTCTTTGATCGGAGCTTTCAATGTTTTCGGTCGTTGATCAATCGGAGTCTTTGTTGATCGGAGAAAGCTCCATCTAAGGTGCTTTCGTTTGCGCCCTTCCAGCTTCTTGGCTTCCGTGTGAGAGGCTTCAATAAATGCAAAACAGGAGCTTTGTTCAATAGCATCCATTGCTTTTATTGTTGCGCCGAAGGAGTTCACGACGTGCCTCTCACTTGAACTCCATCACGTGCACGCATCCACTTTCGTGCATGATGCAGTCCCAAGATGCGGAAGTAAGATTGAGGACCAGCATATAGAGAACCTCCGACCGAGTTTTTCCGATTGAAGCTATCAAGCACTTGGTTCTTCCAACCAGTCATTGTTGTCCAGCTATCGACCATGAGATTTTTGATGTGGACATTACAGAGAGCTCGCAGCTTTTGATAGTAGTAGCCATATTTGATCGTCGGTAGCCGTTGTACACCCCGCAAGGGAATCGGAACCGAAGATGCAGCTCGAAGAGCGCTCTGAGCGCCACCAGGTTTGTGATCCGGCGGCGTTTGCGAGTGGCTGCCAAGCGGATTCAGGCGGCGGGTGGTCAAACGGCGGGAGAAGGAAGGATGCTTTGGAAACGGGTGAAAATTGAGGGCAGGTTAGGGTCAGGGATGAAGAACCAGAATGTAGCCAGAGCTAGTGGGTCAGGGTCAGGTCAGGGTCATGGATGTTGTTTTGGAGAGTTGGACTGGGTGAAGGAAACTGCGTGGAATCACTGGGAAGGAGTTCAAACTAAAGAGAGAAACTGTTTTTGGCCCCAGCTTGAGAACAGCTGCTTGGCAACTGTTGTAAGCAGCTGGAAAGGAACATGTGTTTACAACATGATGCAGCCATTCCTTTCTTCTTTCATCTTGAGCAGAACCTTCGGCGACAGTTCCGGCACCCCAAAGGCAGTTGTGATCGGCACATGAACAAAGCTGGTTGCGGCAGCTCAAAGCTCGACGCAGATTTTCCTAGGGATGCTGTTGATAGGATTTGGCATCTGATAGGTTTTGATGGATTTTCAGTTTTCTGTGTTTGTTTTCCTCGAGACGTGACATGTGCAAAGGGTATGGATGTATCAGCTTTCTACAGTCAAGAAGGAGTACGATGATGCTGGTGATGTCATATTTGTGCTCAACATGTCTAGCATCACCAGCTTGAACTTTTGAGGAATCTCATGCCGTTTCCTGGCGAACTATCGATGTTGCTTGCCATCTGCAGATGATCAACACGTCACCGATGCAGGGTTTGAATGGAATGGATCCAGTGTCCATGAAATCGCCGAACAGCGGTCATGAGGCATGCCCGAAATGACGGGGGGTTATGACGCAAGAATAGGGTTCCATCCAAAGCTGCGGGTTCCATCCAAGTGTGGGTTCCTATTGGTCTTATGTTGGGCTAGAAGCATTGGTCTGAACAGATGGCAAAGCCACTTGCCGCACTTGTTCCGGGATTGTTCATCTGTCAGCTGGGATAGCTGTGCCATCTACGATGAATGGTACCTACTCGGCCCGGCCAGGAAGCACGCGATGTCCGTGGCCGGCTTTGCAATGAGTTCTTGTCGGCGATGCGGGTGGTGAAATGCTTCTCCTTGGATCCTTAGCTGCAGACCTGATCGCCGAATGTGCCAAAGCAGTACCCAGAGGCAGAGAGTCTGGGAAGCTTGATACTACGCAACCGCTAGATATGCTGTTGCCACCATAGAAATCTGGGTGGATTTGGTCTGCGGTGACCCGAGAAACTGAATGAAGCAGGGCACCTGTATGCTGGAAGTTGTCTCAGGTGGTGCCGCAGTCGCGCCACTGCTGGGAAAAGAACCGGCCAGATGGGAACAGCCATACCTCACTTGCGATGGGCAAGTCCCGGTCACGGAACCGCACACCACCACCAACCTGAAAGGTTCCTGTTCTTCATCGCCTGCACCGCCACCAACCCTGCCGTTCTTTTCCGTCGCCTTTGACCAACCACTGAGGAGCCCATGGCGCTGGAGATGCTGGGCGGAGCCAGGGATCGAGAATTGGAGGCTCAATGGTTCAAGCGGAAGGCGCGGGGGCCACGGGCGCCGGGTGGAAAGACGGAGCCGCTGGGTTCGGGTGAAGCGATGCGATCCCGCGATCGCTGGGAGTGAAGGCAGTACCCAGAAATGGATCCTGAAGGAGCTGTGGTGGCCAAAGCCACACGACAGATTTCCCAAACACCAAGAGATCATTTTTTTGCGATTGAGCTTTCACAGTATCACTTTTCTTGAGAGTTGCGAAGGTTGAGCTTGGATCTTGCGAAAGATCCAGGTCTGTCATCCTTCTCTCATCCGAATTGGCATCGTTGGGGGTCGGGAACTCCGAACACCTTCCACTGCTCGAGACGTTGGGACCGAAAGCAAGCACCGAAAGCAACAACTGGGGAGCGGGTCTTCTTCTTTCAAGAGCTCCAAATGTCAATTCTCAAGAAGCCATCCCCGCGCTCCATCAGCAGTCCTTCGTTTTGGTATGGGAAGATCTTCAACTTGGCTCGCTAGCTTAGTTCGTGGTTCGTGTTCCGAGCTTGGATTCTGGAAGAACCAACGACCTTTCCCACTCCGTGTTCTTCAAGGTCCTCCGGCCGATGTTCCACATGAGCCGGGCGGACGGGGACCGGAGCCGGAGAGGTCTTTCCGTTCCAAAACTTCCTCGGAAGCTCCGTGAGCCTCTTCGGCACCATCATTTCCTTCCTCTGGCTGGAGCTGGTGCTGGATAAGCCAGTGGATGCTGCGATTGCCTTCACAGTGCCTGGTTGAAATCAAGCAGGTTTTCGGGTGTCATTTTTGAGTGAGGAGAAGATGGAGAAGGGGTCTGAGAAGTGTTTATTGTTTTTTTCTTCTTCAGGAGGTTCTGAACAGATTCTGCACTACAAGAGTATTTATAGGGTCATCACATCACCATGGGAGCCGGGCAATTGGGGAGGCCTGAATGGGCTGACTCGACTCCGTCCCTGAAACTAAACACAAGGTACCACACGAACATGCCCCAGGCCCCAGTACGGCAGATCAACCGTTCAGACCTTTCAAAGCATGGGTCCGTAACAAAGATGTGCTGCTTGGACCAACCAAAGGGCTCTCCACTGCGTCTCTTCGTTCCATGTGCTCACCTCCACGATCAACTGGGTTGCAAGGGGAACGATTGGCCCGCGACTCTGCGTCCGAGTCGTTCACACGCCGGACGCCTTTTTCACCGCTCTCCTCCTTCGCTCCCGAGCTCGGCGTCGGCCGAAGCTCCGCCGTTCCCACCGCCTTCCCTCGATCGCTGTCTTTGGCTGTGAGGTGCTCTCCTGGAGCGCATTGCTGAAGGACTCGCTGATGGCGGTGCCCAACCAGATCGCCACCCTGCTCGACTGCTACGTGAGTGTGCAACGCATCCAACAGCTCTTGACCTGCCAGGCGCGGGAACTCACGCGGGAGCGTCTTGGTGTGTGAGCGCTGGCGCGCTCACCATACGAGATCGCCATGGTGGACGATTGGACGCGTCTTGGGGGGGATTGTTGAAGCGGGGTGTCACGGCTGTCAGCATATGTACAACAAAGTTGAAAGCTGCCAGACCTGCCAGAGCCAGGAAGCATGAGGTCGGGTCGCCGATGGGTTTGACATTAGGATCCACCAGCAGGACTAGACACTACTCATGGTCAATCACTGTGCAGGTGATTCGGTGATTCTGCCGAGCCACTGCCGAGCTGCTTATGCTCTTGTTTGGTTCCAACATTCCCAACAGCAGAATGCCGAGCTGCGCTCGTAGTAAACAGTAATCCAGTCAATTGAGTTGCTATCTGCTGTTGGGTTGCTACTTGCTGGAAGAATTTGGGGAGAGAGGTGCTGGTTCCTTTGTTCCCTCCCAAGTAGGCCCCTTTCTATTGCTCCAACTTGTCCCACGGAGACGACGGAGAGCGACAGGAGGAGGACACTTCCTGGCTTCAACAGAGTCCAGAAACGCTCCAGGACGAGGGTTTGCAGCAAAGTTGGTTCCATTGCAGGATGCCGTTGCACATGGTAGGCTGAGCCCTCCAAAAGCATGTATTGTCTTCATGCATGTTTCCTGGTCCTGTCTTTCGTCGAGGTTTTAGGCAATCAACATGCAATAACTACATTGGTCGTCTCTTTCGCTGGTTTTTAGCACCCTCTTCAGAGGGTCCTTCTCAAGGTACTTCGCCATTCGGCCATTCCGCCATTCGGCCTGGCATCGCTGCAGGTCCGCTGGTCCGTCCCAACCTGGTCGGCCCTCGGCGACGTCCGTCGGACCCGGGGAGTTTCGAAGAAAACCATGGTTTTGGTGATCAACGGCCGGGTTTAGAACACCCATCCAGTTGACCCAGTTTCCAAAGCAGTTGATCATACTGGGTTTCTATATCAGACTTATATAGCGTTTCACTTCACCTATCCCAACGACTGCAGGAGATGTCCCACCAGTCCGATGCGGAGTTTATCCTCCAGGAGGGTGTGTCCATTGATGACAGTTCTACTAATGAAGGTTCGGATGCTTCGTTCAGCATTTGGATGACACAAAACCAGTGGCTGAATGAACTGGCCTGGTTAATGATTTCTCAAGGCATGAGGTGGGTCTGCCAGAATTTGTGGAGGCTCTCATGTTGGTCTGATAAACCTGCCTGCCACAGCAGAAGCGGCAAATCATGGAACATCATGGTCCTTCCGTCCTTCCAAACAATTTAATTTGAAGACTAGACCAGTGACCAGACATGGTGGCGTTGCAAAAAACCCACCCAGTACCCCGAACGAGCAGCTTACCCGCCATGAATTCGAAGACATCCCCCCCGTGTCGAACATCCGTGGCCAGGATGTGGTAGGAAGCATCTGTCTGGGACGACTTTGGGGAGTCCCACAGAGCTGACCGAACTCTGGACTTGGCTCAAAACTTGGCAAAGGTCTTCAGGTGCTTACCCTACTGTTGATAATGTTGATAGAAAAGAGTCCTTTCGCGCCGTCCGCACCACCGGTTCAAACATGCAGCTCCAACCTGAAGCGCTTTTGGTCATCTATTTGTTGCAGATCACAAAGAGACGAAGTGCTCTAGACCCACTCTGGAGTCTAGTGAAAAGATGAAGCAAACGGGAGACGCAAACGAATTAAGCGCCACCACCGCAGACAGGGAGGATCCGAGACCACGACTCCAAACTTTTGCCTGCTGGGTCATCGAAGAGCCCAATCAACATGACTTTCCTCATCCGGAAGAAAGAACTCAGCACCATTGGTGACACCCCTTCTTTCGTAAACTTTGCCGTTTGATTTGTTGGCATTTGATCAGCTTGCAGGGAAGATCTTATTCAGTACTTGCTTCCGTTGTACCCCATCTCCAAGTCTTTTCAACCCCCCGCTCACACACTGACTATGTGCAGCACCGCAGACTTCGATACTGCGAGGAGTGCAGTATCGGCTGGCCGCTGGACGAAGAGACCTGCCGAGGGATTCAAAAGCTGAACTTGACGGTGAAGCCACAGGAACTGCTGTGGCTTGGACGAGAAGGACGAGCGGCGACGAAGACCAGCGACACACGCCACACGCGAAACAAACGTGGAGTTCACTGTGATGGACCAACTGTGGCTTAATGGCAGATGACAGGATGTGGACGTCGGAGTTGAGGACGGGCTTTACAACCATTGTTGGTCAAGCGAACCTTGTGTCCTGCCCGCGTTGAATTCCCGTGCTCTCGCAACGAACTGGTCAAGATTCTTGCGCGGCCGCAGAGGTGAAAGGTTGAGTTATGGATTTCAGATGGATTCGTTTTCTCTTATTCTGTCGGAGGGTCATGGAGACGGGTCATGTTTCTTGTTCATGGCTGCACATCTGCACATGACACCCTCTATGACCTGCGCATTGCCCAGCTTTCATCATCTTTGCAAGCTGCCCCAAAGAACTTGAACGCACCTTGTGAACAACAACTGCAACACCAATGCGCCATCTGGGAAGATCAGATCTCCAGCGGGAACTTCCATGGAGGGCAACACAGCTATTTCATAGTCTATTTCATCCATACTCCCTCCAGTGTTGTATCACAGGGGAAGAACATTCAACGTGGTGTGTCAGTCACTTCGTGTAAATTCCTTGCCAGCAGAAGTGGTCAACAACCCCAAACTATATGGGCCAAACTGTTAACCAACAGGCAAAAAAAGGTGCCAGAAGCAGATGACTCAGCCACAAACCACACACCAAAACACCAGTCGACATGTCTTTCCACTTGGCTTTCGCTTTTCACTTGGGCCCTTTCCTTCGCTCCTGCCGTGCAGGTTGATCTCGGGTCCCATTGGCTCGGGGAAGAGCACTCTACTGGAGGCCCTCACGGGAACTCGGCCCTTGCTCTCCGGCACCTGCTGGCGTCGAGGTGGAAGGGAAAAAGGGACAAACGCACACGGTTTTTGACGGCGCACATGGCGGAGGACGTGGGGTGCTTCGAAGAGACGTTCTGCTGTAGTTTGGACCATTTCTATCGGTGGACCATGTCTAGCAAGGCGGATAGCAAGGAGTGCTGCTGAAGTCATCTGAAGGGTCCAACACTTGTGACGAATAAGGGTCCAGCATCCTGACCTCCAGTCCAGTCACCAGGGTGGTCGGAGTGCCAAGGAGCAGAGGTTTTTCTCTTGAAACACATGAGGCTCGAGGCGCTTGTTCCTGAGGTCTGGAAGTTGTCAGCAGCGAAGTTTGGGGCAACATACTTTGATCATCTTTGATCTAACAGATGGACCAGGAAAGAATGCATTTCCTAGACAGTTTCCGGCACTTCCTCCCCTAACCATCAGATTGGGTAGAAGACATCAGTCATGAGTCATAACCCATAACCTCCCAATTCTTCCATGCAACCCCCCAAAAGGCACTGGTTTGTAGAGAACACTCTTTCAACTTCTCCGGCCCATTCTGGGGCTCATCTGGTGTTTTCCAGGATCCAACTTAGCCATATACTTCAAGAACCCTAAAGTTTACGCTTCTTACTCTGTTCCAACATGACACTTGCGGTCTACAGCGGATCGGATTAACAAGTCCATTTTGCGTGGCAGGTACAGCACGGTCAGATTTCCACACCCGTTTAAATTTATAATATTTATAAGGCTTTCAGGTGTGGAAATCTGACCGCAACTGAGGTGTCGACATGTTGCACGTAGGATTCTAAGGGGAAAGGGTTTGTGATGTTTTAGAAGTCAAGAAGCGCAACTTTTGGCACCCCAGTGCGTTATTACTAGGTATTAGCCTTGTGTTTACAACTAATCATGAGAAATGTTGTCAGGTTCGACATTAACGTTGTCCTGTTATAAAGTTAAGAAC